GAATGAATACCTTTGACATTAATTTAGGGTTGAAAGCTATTGAAAAGTGCTTTGCTTTTTTTCCCCCTTCTTTCGTTGCAAACCTGATATATTTTGAAACCAAGTCCACTGTAATAAATAACTAAAAATAAAAATAAAAATTGGATGATTATCTAGACATACTATATTATGTAATACTATGGTAGGCAGATACCAACATATTTGCTTACCTTTTTTAAAAAAAAATTGCCTGCATAACTTTTTCACTCTTCCTCAAAGATTTGTTACAGTAATTCTTAGATGAGGAGAGTGTGCACATAAGAATTGGATTTATTAGTGTATAGCAGTTGTGACTAGGTGAGGGTCACAGCTGTGCCTAATGATTTATTTATGAACGTGACATGTTTATTATTCCCCTTTAGCCCGGCATTTTCTTTATCAAAGTAGGAAAACAACTTAGTACTTGCCCCTACAAGTATTAAATTTGTTTTAATGATATCTACACTGCTCTCTTCTACACTGCTTCAACACTACAAGAGAGAAAAGTGTAGGCTCCCTTGACGACTCATCAATTTTGAAAAAAGTTGAAGCCACACTTTTCTCTTTTGCGGTGCAAAAATAGTGTTGGAGTAGCGTAGTTATCACTAACCTTCGTTTAAAACTGTATTTCTTTTAGTGAATATTTGTGCCTTGTTTATTTAGACTCCATTTAATATGTATTTACGAGCAAGTACATACTTTTCCATTCCCAGTGAGCAAGTATAGACTTCCACTGCTTTCTGTTTTTTTTTTTTTCCATCCTTAGTGTATTTCTGCAGTTCATGAATTAGTACCTTCATTTCGTCCTTTGCTTCCTTTCTATTAGTTTCCAAATTTCAGTCGGCTCACTTCGGATACAATAAAAGGGGATGTTTGTTTCACTAAAAATTTTGGCATTTGGTATGGATTACAAGTTTTGTGATCAAAAAGTGAGTTTTTTGTAATTTGGGATTCCATATATGATGTTTGTTTTAAGAAAATTTTTAGAATATTGAATCCCAAAAGTGCCTAATTTTTAGAATTTGCCAAATCCTCTTAATTGGAAAGGATTTTGACAAATCCCATAAATGGGTGTGCTTACCCCTCAATTGGAGAGGATTTGACAAATCCTAATTTTGTCTTTTTGTGGGAGGTAACCTCACCAAGATAGCATATTCATCATATTACAAAATGTTGGTATTTGGTAATGTTACAATTTGAGCTTGAAACAAACAAAATATTACAAATTATAGTATTCCAAATCCCAAAATATTAACGAAACAAACAACATTTTAGAAACCCCAACTCATAACAAAACACATATGAATTTCAAATCTCATGGTAAAATCCATATCCTAAAATTATAGGATTTGAAACAAACACCCCTAAAAGAAAGAAATGTCTTATGTTGAGGTGCTTGGAATCTGTACTGGGTCTTGGTCTGTCATGATAATTTAAGTGCTCGACTAAAAGGAAATTCATCACTGACTATTTTTATTTCTCCTCCCTGTTTAAAACTCATCTTAAAACAAAACATACAAATATTGGGCAAATCCTGTCCAACCCTAGAGACATCTAAGATCCTTCTTCTTCTTTTTTTTTCAAACCTACTCCCGTTTCGAGTCAAGAGATAGATAAGCGGACGCATGATCCCCAGCAACCGTAATAGTCAAGCTTGGAGCCGACGCGTTTGTTTCTTGCTAGCCTAGCTCACGCGGATGACCTCCACCAGGATCACCGCTAATCTTGTTGTACTGTTTTTGGTATTACAGGACACAATCATGCAGGCCCTTCCTTCGTCAATAATTTGCAATCAGGGCCCATGCGTCTCTTTCCTTGATATAAAAAACTGCGACCGGAGATATATATGCGTAATCAAATAAGAAACTAGTAATTTAACAGGTAATCATAAACAACAATAATCAAGTGGCATTGAAAGGATAAAGGGGCCTGACCCCTCTGTTAACAAACGATAAAACAAATGAGGGTTAAACTTAGGTGAAGTTACTAAGCGCATCTAAGGATTAGAGAGCCAACAAGAAATTCAACCCAGAGGGTCTATCTTCAAAAACGAAACTACAGTGGTTAGTAAGTCGGAAACGGTGATACTACAGGGGGTCTATGCGCAATTAACCCTCGTTTCTAAACAAGGAGAAGTCGCTTCAAACGTCCGGGTTCTTTTTTATACCGATGTTCCCAGAATAAATCGATCCGCGCAAGTTTCATCTTTAATCGGCCTTGGTGCATGCGGTTAAGGTCAAGCTAATGACAACAGCACATCAGACGTACGTGTAACCGCAGAGCTTATCCGAATCACGAGCCATGCGTCAACCGCCATCTCGTGATGGGGGTACTCAGTCGAGACCATCGAACACGCGTCCGCATCAGACATAATTGCATTTTCCATCTGCAGCGCTAATAGAAAGTGCCAGAAGAGGCGCATTTACCCCCCCAACGCAGCGAAGGACATGGCTGAATCCTCCAACCCTGTTGCCCTTGTTCTGGTCTTCCTAATGCTCAGCAGTCTTGTTGCTTTTCATGAGTGTGAGCATCGAAGTTCCTCCGCTATATTCTTCGTTGCATTTTTCGACATTAAGTTAAACTAACCCTCTCATTTAAACGCCGTCAAATTTTTCGATTGTTTCCCTTCGCTAGTTTCATCTGGCGGTGCGCGGTGAGTGTGCCTTTTTTATTATTGACATTTCTGACCCTTGCAGGCGGAGACGCGTGCGTTCAGTTACCATGCCCTACAGAGTCGGCGCTCTGTTGGTGTTGCCGCTCTACTCGTAATTGTTTCCTCAACCGTCTAAATAAGTAAAGCCGGAATCCAGTCTCCCATGTTTTCTCACCGTGTTCTTGAGGATATCTGGCTGCGAAATGAAATCAAAATCAAAATTTTCAAATTCGTTAGTTTTTATCTGAATCAGACTTTTTTTTTTTTTTTGGCTCCCCATATTCATCTAGGAAGTATTTTTCTTTCGAGTTGTATGCTATTGCGGCATTGCGTGCCAGCCAGATCACTTGGCTCTTGAGACGCAAGAACAACACAAATGATGTTTTAGGTCGCGACGAGGATTCCTTTATTCTACTTTACCTTATTGACAATCATCTTTCCGGTTAAATTAGTAAATATAATTTCTTTTTTAATTTTCTATATCCAAATGCGTTTGAACTATAGGATGTTAATGATGAGATAACAATATCCATCTTGTTGACGAAGTAATATCGAACTTATTATATTGTTAATATCATCTTTAAATATTTGCTAAAACAACGTGCTGCTTATGTATGAACAGACGAGGCCAACAAATAGAGGGGTTATGCAGAAGAAGGGGGGGAACGCAATTTTCCATTCACTCTCAAGGTTGCAGAAACATGGAATAGCAGCAAGATACGGAAACAAACCCATAAATTAAACAGTTCGCAGCTCGCCATTAAAATTGCAAGAACAAATATGATACGATTAACCTTTACCGAAGAGGGAAATCATACGCTATCAAGCCACACGGTTAGAAACCTAATATTAGTTGTAAATTATAACAATGACAAATTTGAGACAAAACCTTTCGAATGGTTTCATGAAGCAATACGCAACCAATTGCTAGAACAAACCTGATACAACTACCTTTTACTGAAGAGGGAAAATCATATTTTATCAATCTACACAGTTAGAAACTTAGTTAGGAATTATAACGACGACATATTTGAGGCAAAACCTTTCGAATAGTTTCATGGAGCAATATGCAACCAACATTTTACCTAATTGCCCCGTTAACAATGGATGTGACCTTGCAAATACCAGCAGATGTTGTGAATGGAACGTCTTTATAGCAAGCTGTCAACTCTGCATCTGTGTGTAAATCTATCTGCAACTTTTCCCAGACTTTGCTCTTGGCATTCAACATGTTGTCTGGTTCTCCAGAATACCCAGGAAAAGTTACAGATTCCCCGATCTTGGCTGAAGCTGGCGGGTCAACCAACTCAACCTGAAATTTCCGGATCAAAAAATAAAAATAAAACTTGATGCCAGCCCCCTGATTATGATAGCAACTAAACATAAACCTCAAATAGAGTTGAATGGAACCTGATGTTAGTAACTAGTTTTCCTCTTAAAATTGGTCAACTCATTTCAAAAATCAACAAAAAGGGACTTGGTACTCATCCCATGATGTCCTATAAGTGCACCAATGTAACTAACAAATGAAACAGAAAGGAAAAGAAAGTGGAGGCACAATCAGATACATTTTCTTTTTGCAACTTTACCAAGGTTTATTGCACAAAGACTGGCAACAGAATACAATTTCTAATTTGGAGGACAATCAAGGAAACCATTTACCTACTAAGTTAATTAATAGAAATATACTATAGGGAAGAATAAGTTCTGCTTGTTAAAAAAATTATGATAAGGAGATTTGAGTGGTACCTTTCGAAAAGAAACTAGTAGTAAATGTGATCAACAAAATGCACGATGAAGTAAAAATTGGAGACATATGTTCATGATTAACAACAGGCCTAAATAAAGAATCAGCATGATTAACAACAGGCCTAAATAAAGAATCAGCATAAGTTTATCCTTCACCTGTTTCAATCAGTCATAATGGACTTAGGTAGGAACTCCCCTCCTCTCCCCTTATAAGACAATATGATTAGCCATGCTTAATGGATCAGAATGTTTCAAAATTAAGAAACAAGTAAAAAAACCTATTTCGCAAATTTTTTACTTCAGCTTCGTGAATTTTACTCTTCAATTAGTTCTGTTTTAGAAATTACGAAACACCATTCCGGAAAAAAGGTGTAGCTAAAAATGAGTACATGAGTACAGTGAAATGGCAGAGCTGCAAACAATTGGATAATAAATGAGCTTCTGAAGAAGTTTAAGGTGGTTCCTACGGAGGGTAAGATGAAGGACAATGTTTGAGATGGTTTAAATATGCACAACGGATCAGTTAACTATGCATGACTTACTGGTAGATTATAGGTAAGAAGCATATAGGACAAGAGATAGACGAAAGAAGACAAATGGCTAGAAGCAGTAAATAAAAAAATAAAGACTGGTAGTGATGCAAAATCTTTGCCCATACCAAGTTATCATAAGGAGTGAGGAATAATAAAACTTACAAAGAAATAACTATTACGACTTACTTTGGTGTGATCATCATTGGAGGCAGCTAATACCATTGCCTGCGATTTAATACCCCTCATGGTGGCTGGCTTAAGATTACAAAGAACACATACCTTTCGATCCTGCACAATTGTCATTGCAATAAAATTTCAGTAAAGAAAGAGAAACACAAGGTAATGCCTAAACATATCATATCATAAAAATGATAACGTTAGAGGGACTCACCTGCATTTCTTCAAGAGGAATGAATTTGACGAGACCACTCACAACGGTCCTAGGCAACTCCTCACCTATATCAATCTCTTCCACGTATAGGGAGTCAGCATCTGGATGCTTCTGAACTTTCTTGATGAGACCTACACGAATGTCAAGCCTAGAAACAGAAATTTCTGCTTCTGAGGGCTTTGGTTTTGCAGCACCTATGGACTTCACCTTTTGTTTCTTTGCATTCCCTTCTGCACCAGATAAAAAGAAAGAAAAACTGTTAGTATATGCATGTAACTGTTAATATCTGTACCCAAAAAGCAGGAAAAGATCTTGTGCCAGTGCTCGTGTACATATGTGTGTTCACATACTTCCTTAAGGTCACGGATTAGCATTCGAGTCACACACACACACACACACACACACACACATGTACATATGTGCATTCACATACTGCCGCCTTAAGGCCACATCTGTGTTCGCGCGCGTGACATATCAAACCGGATTGGTAGGCTCTAAAATCTGCAGATTATAATATTTGAGGAGAACAGAAAATATGGTAAACCAAGAAACACCAACTTATGGATACGAGTGTTGTTTAACTCAGAATCTGGAAGTTGTATATGTTACTTTCGGTTAATTTGCTAAACTATGCTAAGGCTTATTTTTCAGAGGTAATATAGACATACTCGTTCAATCAGTAAGCACATGACTCCAGCCACTGAAGTCTGAGCTGTCTTGTATTATGTTTCTATCTCCTGAGAGAGGTAATAGACAAGAGAGATTAAGGTTGAAGACATCCAAATACTCAGTCTCAGCAACATGATTGAACACACTTTTAGACAGTGACAACCCATAGGTTAAAAAATCTGATGAAATGAAGAAAAAATAATTCATCAACATGTGTGCATGAAGCTTCCGTACTACAATATGTAAGAATCCTTATGGCATTCTTACTCAGCTAAAACGCATGTAAAAACTCACCTACTTCTGCTCCTCACCCTGGATACAAATACAAATAACTGTTCATAAAAAACCATGTTTTCACTATTTGGCAAACTCTCTGCATGCACTCCAACAATTTGTTCTCCATTGATACAGTTCACTTTTTGTCTGCATTTGTACCAGCTCCACTCCCAATAAAACATATTTGCCTCATTATTATTAATTGCATATGCATGCAGGTGTACTTCAACTATCCCTCACGCCCGCCCCCCCCCAAAAAAAAAAAAAAAAAAACAACAAAACAACACGCCACACACTCACCATTACTCAAATGACCAAACTTCCCCAAATATTCTGATTGTTAATCAACGTAATGCTAAAAAACTGATATTAACAATTCACAGTCAAAATAGTTACAGTTAATATGATTATTCACCTCAAATAATAATCAACAGTGTTGCAAGTTAGTATCTTTAATCATGAAAAATACAAACATGTACCTGAAATCTTTGTGGACTTCAGTTTCTCAGCAATCTTCGCCTCAGCTTCTGCTTTCTCGATTCTATCAGACTGACTACCAGCAAATTTCTGCCTAAAAAATTCTACATCTTCATCTTTCTGCACATAAAATTTAGTCACTGATTGTGTAGACAAAAACATGATGCAACACCCAAACAAGAAAGAAGCAACATCAGAACAATGAGATGTACCAACCATTTCTTTGAACACCGGTTCAGGTTTCCCTATTTTATGACCAGATGGAAGAAAGTCCCAAGGTCTTTTTGCCTTCTCCGTGTCTCCTTTCTCATCACATAATGAGATATGTGCATCAGCAGACAAACTAAGCTGCCTTAGAACCTTCAATGCCATAATAAAGAAAAAACTCAAATATGAAATTGGTTTAAATGGCAATGTAGTGATGTCTCCCAAACAGAGTAAATGAAGAAAAGGTGGTCATATGACTAACTTCTACAGCAAAGGAGGGCATGAAAGGTTCTAATAAATTTGCAAGAAGGAAAACAAGTCCAGCTGAAGTCTTTATAACGATGGAGCATGAAGAAGGATCTTCCTTGTAAAGCTTCCAGAATTGGCTCTCCTAAAAAAGTAAAGAAGCATGTCAGCGAAAAAGATTAATTAAAAGAGAACGGGAGGCTTTGAAAGCCTTACTTGCAAATATGCATTCCCTTCGCTTGATATGCTCATAGCAGTCTTTAAACCCTGTTTTAGCTTAACCTGTCACATGAACAAATTGATCAACAAACGAAACTTGTTTATGCACGGAAACACAAGTCAGGCCTGGAGACAATGAATTACCTTCTCCATGGCATCAAGATATTGATCTACCAATTTCCCAACTGTCTCACCTAAATTTTTGGTTAACTGATGCGATTCTGCATTCTGAACGTCAGGAATGATGGAACCATAGCCTGATCCTGCAGATGGGAAACGAATAGCCAGTAAGAAACATACAGCTTGAAGCTGCAGAAATACATATCCATTTGATCAGGCATGACATGCTAAACATGATACATGCAAAACAAATATGAGACTATCCGCTAAGCCTTATGAGTATCATCATTATAAGACTTCTTATCTAGCTGTTAAGTCTTTTTAAGTAATTATTAGCCCTCTTATAGAACTATGACTATCATCATCATAATTTATAAGTCTGATGACTATCAGTTAAATTCATACGCCATTCCAATTATAGAGCTTCAAAAAATGAATAATGAAAATAGAGATCATAAACTCTATTCAGTTATCAGTAGAAATCCAGTAAAACTTTACTCTTAAAGAATTTTTTAACCATTTGAAACCAATTTCATATGAATGATTTAGCAAAGGCACACTAATTGTAAAGCTTCAAAAGATGAAGATTGAAAATAAAGACAATGGACTCTTTTTAGTTATTAGTGGGTTTCCGGTACAGTGTAATTCATATAGGATTTCAAACATTTTACACGGTCATATATTATACATATCATTTCCAGTTGAAACCACAATTCAGTATCAAACAGATCATTTCAGACAGAAATGCCCCAATACTCTGGATACTTAGAAAAACAATAGTTCTAGTAAAACTTTGGCTCGATTGCAAATTAAATAATTAATAGTTAATATGGGAAAATTTTCATAATTTCATCAAAGTTTTGTTATCATGTTCCATGCAAATTACTATTAGCATTATTTGTAGTTCTATATCATGAGATAGAGATCTGCTATGCACAACTGCAGGCACAAATCAAATGATTTGCCGGAGTGCACAAGAGTCAGCAGTTTTAGCTGAAATGTAAAAAATGGAAAGTTCTGTTGGTGAACTAGCAGCAGGAGGACAGACTTGGGCATCTTACAAAAGTATAATATGTTAAGAGAAAAAACACCACCAATAAGTTATAATTAATATTGTCAGTATTAATATAAAACTATAATCCCGGTCTTCAGTCTTCACCATAATTTTAGAGTTTTGGTGCAACGTTTTGAGAAACTTAATTTAAGATGGTATCAGAGCAACCCAAGTTCAAATCCCACCAACCCCGAATTTAAAGCGGAATTTCTGAAAATTGACACTCTTGTGTGAGTCCAGGTTTCAGCCCATAAAAAAAGAACACTCAACCTACGGGGGGCTATGTGATGCCCCAAGTGTGAATAATCCCACATCGGGAAATGAGTGAAAAAATTAGTGGTTTAAATAGGTAAGTGTAAGACTCAAGTGTAACATCGGCCAGTAGATTTTGACAATGGTTTGAGCCAAACACATGTTACACTCGGTAGGTCCCACGGCTTGCACGCGCCAATGGGCCCACGGGCCTGGGACGTGACAAATGGTATCAGAACAGTTGCCAGCCAGAAGTGTAAAGTTAAGTCCTATGTGGAGTAAAGTGCTACACGACATGAACGCGATAGGAGCCACCTCTAGAGCCCGTAGGAACCACTTTTAGAGTCCACATCGCCAGGCGATACTGGGATGTCGCGACGAAGACATCGCCTTTATAAGGTGGGATGATTGTGATGCCCCAAGTGTGAATAATCCCACATTGGGAAATGAGTGAAAATTGTAGTGGCTTAAATATGTAAGCCTAAGACTCAAGTGTAACATCGACAAGTCGATTTTGACTGCGGTTTGAGTCAAACAACGTGTTGCACTTGGTAGGTCTCATGGCTTGCACGCGCTAACGGGCTCGCAGGCCCGGTGCGTGACAATCTGTCAGAATTAATATAAAACTATAATCCTCGATCCTCACCATAACTTCAGAATTTCGGTATAATGGTTAGAGGGACTTAATTTAAGAAATATGATAGATGTTTGAAACTAAAACACAACTAATTCGTGAATTCCATTTTACTCACCAGCAGGTTTAGCAATGAAGCTCAGAACACGATTAATAAAATTCCCCAAATTATTCAGCAACTCGCTGTTCAGTTTAGCCTGCAAATCTGTCCACGTAAACAATGTGTCTGATACCTAAACCACACAAAACAACAAAAGTTGAGGAAAATAAAAAAATAATAACAAAATAGTACAAACTTCTAAGCAAGCAAACTTCCTTTGTCAAACTTACTTCAGGCCTGTTACTTAGTAAGTAGTATCGCCAAACTTCTGCAGGAATCTTTGTATCCTTTGCATCGTTACCAAAAACTCCAATACCCTTACTTTTGGAAAACTTCCCTACATAACATGAAAACATGGGTGCAGATAAAACCAACAAGTGTAGCTATAATTTTACTGATCTTGTTACTCAATATGCAATGAGTTTGAAGTATCAGGAACTAGAGCACTACTTTCAACTTGCAAGAAAAGGACACAAGCAACAAAACAGTACCCAAGTTTTTTCTGGCTCAATATTACTCTTAACTCCACAACTTGGTGAGTAATGTGATAGTCTTAAATAATATAAATAATGTAAAGTTATGGTAACTAGGTGCTAAATTAGACATAATAACACAGATGGTCAAGTTGGAGCTTCAAGATAGTCTTCAGAGTAACACCAAAGAAATACTTTGTGCAGTTCACAATCAGAAGTTATAGGTTTTATCCATAGAATATAAGGCTGCAAGTAAAATTGTAAAAAAGCTAAATGAAAGAAGGATATGACATCCTCAAAAGGGAGAAAATCTAGCACATGCAAGCAGACTTCCAAAACATTACAGAACTTGTACAACTTCCACATAGGAAACTCTAACTGCAGTTCATGATTAAGGCTATCCTTCAGCAGTCGCAAAACCGAAAAGGTTGATTGTACGATATGTTCATAAGGTGTCTGAATAAAGCTTTTTCTCACGTGATAGCTGTTTAATGGAATTCATGATCTTCTAGGCTCATATTGAAAGTAGACTGACAAACGAGATGCCTTTCATTGCTATGCAATATATAACAAGAAAGAACAATGTCATTTCATGAGCCGGTAATAGTGTGCCCTGATAGTTTCTGTTGACCTTTATGAAGGCTGACCTACGCATTATGTGATCAAGAGGAGGACAGCATAGGATGACCAATTCCACCTAGAAAATTCTGTAGAAACTGAAGAAGTTACACCCAACTGCCAAAGGCGGACACAAGCATCTTTCCTTGTACCATGGAAAGATATGAAGATAGAAGGTAACAACAACCTTAGCAAGTCCCTTTTCACCCATGTATGCGGATTATTAGAACCAGTTTGGTAAAGAATTAAGAGAATACAGTCCTTGTCTGTTTGGTTTGTATGCGGATTATTAGAACCAGTTTGGTAAAGAATTAAGAGAACACAGTCCTTGTCTGTTTGGTTTAATTGGATATCTTGTAGCAACATGATACTGGGGCAAGACTAGCAGTTACTAACTTCTAAATATCATAGATTCATAGTGATACCATCATTTTTCAGCAAATTCCCAACCAACAAGAACTCTGTTCAGTATATTAGATTCTAGCAAGTACTAAGTATCATAGTTGAGAATAGACTTGCAAAACTAGGCAACTAATTATACAGAGTTTAAAACAGTATAATACCTGCTTCATAGTTTAAATACTCTGTGACACTTATCGTCTTCATTAACGTCCAGCTTTCATCAGTTCCAAGAAGCGTTGAAGGAAACATAACCTGAATAAAACATAAGAAATAACAAGTTTTGAAGAAAGGAACTCGTGATTGCAAAATTAATGAAAAATTTATCAATAAAATGGAAGGACATATATGTATGGTCCTCATAGCTGTAAGCATAAACAATATAATTTGTATAAAGGACGAGTAAGTCTAGCTGCAAGCAAGAATGTCTCATTATGTGCATTTTGTGCCGGTGAAACATTGCTAATTTCAGAAGACAACCAACAGCACTAAAAATAGAACAGAACAGACAGGATGAACACTAACTACGATTACATGCTAACTTCATACAAGGTCCTGATATAATCAAAATCAGTAGATGGTAGGAAGAGAAGTAGGAGCTGGGACAGTAAACTAAAACTGCACTGCTTAAGTGACTGATTGGACAGTAATCTAACAGAGGAAAAGATACCAAAAATGACTGTTTCTAAGGACAAGTGAAAGCTGCCACAAGATAAAAGTTTACTTTACTAAACTACTACTGAAGGCATCTCATCTAAATTTTGAAGTGAGCTGAAATGTGAAGTCTGCCCACAAACACCAGACTTACTATGTAAATCATTTACCGTGTGAAATGGCACATTATCTTTGCCCATGAACTGATATAGCTCCACATTTTCAGGATTTTTCCACCATTTTTCCCATTCAGGTGTGTAACAAGCTGTGATCGAAACATATCCAATTGGAGCATCAAACCAAACATAAAACACCTGCATGACAACATCAATGGACAGCATTACTAAAATATCAAGTCCCTCAGCAAGTCGACATATGAATTCAAATAGTGATATTGCATAATATATTGAAATGTTTATTAAAATGTCTATATTGACCTTATCTTTGTACTTGTCATGGGGAACAGGAACACCCCATTTAAGATCCCTTGTAATACAACGAGACTTTAATCCTTCCTTCAACCATGCATGTGTCGTCTGAATAGCATTTTGGCTCCATCCTCCAGCCACTGACATAGTATTGATGTACTCTTCAAGTTTACCACTGAGGGCAGGGAGTTCCAAAAACAAGTGGTTTGTTTCTTGCAGGCGTGGAGTGTTCCGGCAAACCTATACAAAAATGTTTTTGAATATAAATTTGATACATTCTGAAGTAGGTTGTACTGCAATGCATAATCTAATTAATAGGACAAATATAAGATCTTGAAGAGTGGATGTCACCTTGCACTTAGGATCCTTAAGTTCAGTAGGATTTAACAATTTCCCACATTTTTCACACTGGTCACCACGTGCAGAATCATAATCGCAGCCCAAAGTTGGGCATGTTCCCTCCACTAATCGATCAGCCAAAAAGCGTTTGCATGTATCACAATAAAGCTGTCATAGAATGTTAGATAAAGATAAAAAAGATCAACAATAACAGGCAAAGAATACAGCTGCATGTGTATTATTAGGTACTAAAAGAAATACAAGAAATATTAAAATGAGTCACAAAACATGGATCCCCCAAGAAAATTATCTGCAAATTATCTTAGAGATGACTTCTTACCTGCTCCATAGTTTTTTCAGTAAGCCATTTATTCTCCCACAATTTGTGAAATATCGCTTGGCAAACTTCGGTCTGTTGTGGAGTTGATGTGCGACCAAACTCATCAAAACTTATTCCAAACCAGTTATAGACTTCCTTATGAATTGCATGGTATCTGCATGGAAAGGATATTTCTTAATACTTCCACTTGGTATCCTTTTTGGTAAGCAGAATCAACAGTAAAACTATAAAAAGCGCAAAACATAAAGCATTATAAACTTGGTCCATAAAGATAAATCACGCTAGTGATTATAAAAAGAGGATTTATTGTAACCTTTGTCACACTCCCTATTCTAGCACTGAATAATACAGGGTGGACAAGCAGCAGTGCGCATCCACTAAACCCTCCAAGTCTCTTACTAATGTCAATTATAAGTTAAACCATGCATCGGGCCGACTAGATGGTAAGATCTTCTTTGATTAATTGACTGCACCAGAATTTAAATATTTACATAGAAAATTTGCACCTTAGCCATCTTATGAGACACATATTTAATCAAGGAGCAACGAGAACAGGCTTCAAATCACAAACTGATAACCATGTCATGTCAGTTCTTTTTCATGTAGTAGGTTAAACGAAGTCCATAATTAGACCATTGCAGTTCATTTTCCCAGTTCCTTCCACAAACATGCGCCTCACGCTCAACAACCAAAGACGGGACTTTGATGACGCCTCTGCCAAGTCTCTAAGTTATAGAGCAAGATTCAATAATTACAACGTTAACAGCCTCGAGTTGTCGAGCAAGATTCGATAATTATAATAATAATAGTCTCTTGCAATCTTTGCCAGTCCTGTGAATAACTTGAAGGTCCATAAAGATTTGGGATATAGAATTTGTACATATTACTCCTGCTGCTAATTGTACTCACAACTTCATAGTACTTCTAAAATTACTAGACATAATTATCAGAGAATTTATGTACTTAATTTCTCAATTATTAGGTATTTACCATCAACATATAACGACAATCAGCTCCAAAAAATAACAAAAAAAAAAAATTTTAAATCCGAACTTATCGCAAATCTCCTTGGGAGAGCATTTCTCCTCCATGGCCTTAGTCTCCGTCGCCGTCCCGTACTCATCAGTTCCGCAAATATAGATCGCGTTGTATCCCCTCAGCCGGCAGTACCTCGCGAACACATCGGCGCTCAAAACACCTGATGGGGAGCTTCGGGGGATTGGTTTCTCCCATTTTGGGCTCGATCGTAGATGGAAGTGAAGCGCGAGGGGTTTTATGAAAATTTGAGAGCGAATTTGGAGTGGGGGGAGGAAGAGAGAGGCGACAGTGCGAGAGGAATTTGGAGGCGGATTCGAGAGGCAAGTGGGAGAAAGGGCGAGGGTGTTTGCGGGTCGGATCCTGGATGGATTCATAAAAAATGCGTTGGCGGATCCGACACGAAAGCCTAATTAGTAATTACGCAAAGGAAAGGGAGACCGTCTTGATCCGACCCACCGGTGGAGATCAGAACCCGTCGTAGGTTCCGAGGGCTAGTGAGAGCTCCAAACGGAATCCATAAAATAATGCTTTTCTTGCCTGGCAAGCTTCGGAGAGTTAATTAAGGGGCTGTTTGTTTGACTTAAAAAAAAAAGAGGGAAATTAAAAATAGGAAATCTATTTCTAAGAAAAATTGTTTTGAGATTGAATGAGAGATGAGTTGTCACATTATTATTGGATAATGTGGTGATTTTTTAATAAAATTTGTTTTGAGGTTGTTGGTTGGCTAAAAAAAATTAAGGAAATAAATCATAAGAAACATATTTCCGGTAATAGGTTCTTTTTTTGTGTTTGGTTCATTCATAAAAATAAGAAAATAGATGAGATGAGATGAGTTGTCATTATATTATTGGATGATGTGACCCACACTTAAGAAAATCGATTTCCTAACTTTTTTGGAGGAAATTGGTGTAAATGAAATGTTAATGAGATGAGATGAGTTGTCATCGTATTATTGGATGATGTGAGTGATTTTTAAAGATGAGATGTGATGGAGATGAGATGAGTTGGATGATGTAACTAATTTCTTGTGTTTGGTTTATTTTGAGGAGATGATATGATATAAGTTGTGGGATGAAAATAATATATTATTGGATGTTGTGGTGAGTTTTAGGGATGAAAATAATATTTTATTGATTTCCATGTACCCTTTTTCTTTTCTTGATTTTTAGGAAACCAACCAACCAGACCCTAGAAGTTATTATTGGGGTAAACATCAGAAAACCGCCCGTAACTGTGGATGATTACGAGAAAAATCCCTTAATTTTCAAAATATCACAAAAACCCCTAAGTACTCAGATCATCAGAACACCCCTCTAACTTTTAGTTTTTATCATATACCCCCCTAACTTTTAGATTTTATCAAAAAATACTCCTTCAACTTATTAGAAAACCTCACCTCCAAGATTGTGTGCGTGTTTGGGCTGGGGAGGGGGGTGGGATTTGATAAAACTGCAAAAAACTAAAGGGTTTTTTTCATTGTTTGGGCTGGGGAGGGGGGTGGGATTTGATAAAACTGCAAAAAACTAAAGGGTTTTTTTCATAGCCTTTACATATTTGTGTGTGTGTTTGGGTTGGGGGTGGGGGGTTATTATATTGTATTTTAAAAGTTAAGGGGTTTTTTCATAACCTCTACACTTTGTGTGTGTGGGGTGGGGGGAAGGGGTTATTTAGCCTTTTTTATTACAAGGAAATAAGTATGATATGCGATTTATTTTGCTAAATGAGCGGTTCGCAAATAAAGGAGCAACAAAGTCTACGCCACAACAAACATTTTTGTTATTTACGCAAGGGGTTATTTGGTTTATAGATTGCATGCCCAAGAATGTTGTCACGATAGATGTAACATCTAGTCTCAATACATTACTTTATTGCAAGGATTGTTTCTATTAGTTAATTGTATTTTTTTATTTTGAAAAATGGTTTTTTTTTTCAAGGATTGTTTCTCAATGTTCACAACTTTTCTTACTTTGATTTCCTAACGTTCACATTTTTTTGGACCATTATACCCCACAATTTTTTTCTTGATATATTGATGCCCAAAAATTTACACGTTTTCACCTCAAGATTTATGCATTTTCAAACTCTTGATGCCTTAAATTTTTTAGTACTGAAGTGTCAAAAATAAAGTTTTGTAGTTTCTAATAGATAAGTTGTCACGGCCCAAAGTACAAACAACAATTTTATAAATATGGGTTTTGCGACAGCAGCGACCTATGCACAAGACAAGTTCCGTGCACACGTCAAGCCTCGCACTTCACATAACATAGCTATCTCAAAATATATATAAACCTGCTTATGTACATATGTTATGGTGTTTTCAGTTGCTAAAGTACGGTCCTTTGCCAGCTACGGATAGGTGTCCCCCTATATGCACTGCTCAAGCTAGATTGACGATCAAAGCAACCAAGGATCTTGAAGTAGCCGACCCGTCGAGTCGACATCTCCTTATATCAACACGAAAGGTCGTACTTGTCGATTCTCTTGTCAAAGACGACTCGTAACGAGCCCACTCGACCAGTTACTCAACGTCTCACTTGTCGATTCTCTTGTCAAAGACGACTCGTAACGAGCCCACTCGACCAGTTACTCAACGTCTCGCGAGGTCGACTCGAAAGGCATTACTTCTCGACGAAGCTATAGGATGACTTCAGCCTCGAGCCTCTCCCACTAACAGCACGTCAGTGTCGAATTCAATGTTTGGCAGACGCATCATACCTCTAGCCCTGATAGTCTTCATGACTCATTGAACTGGTGTTTTCAGTCGCCAAACGTTACAACCATTCATCTTCTTACTAAACCACTATAAATCTAATCTAATCATATTATTTATGATTTATCTATTGTAGAAAAAAAAATACAGTATCAACTATGGTGACATGAAAATTTATTATCACCATTTTACTATAATATTAGTAATAGTGTGATATTGTACTATCTTAATTTTTTTATAATATATCATAGTAGCAAAATATAATTCTAAAATTTAGAATAGCATAATATATTAATTATAGTATTAATAACATAACATTTTAATATAATATTAAGAAAAGGAAAGGATGTTAATGGGCATGCAAGCTTGGCTAGCCTGTAAAATTAACAAAAATGAAGACGAGAGAATGTTATAGCTCTGTATTTATAACCTCTCAATTAAATGCTTATAAATTTCCAATTTAGTCCAATCCATTAATCTTATTACTACTCACTAATTAATCAATGCACATTAGCTCTTCATTATCTATTCTAAATTTTCCATACAATTTTCATCATCCCACTAACTCCTTGCCCATAACTGAACATTAATTACCCATTGATCCAAACGATGAATTGGCTCTTAATTCATAAATTTTTAGTTACAGAGTTGCTTGGGAACAATAATCACATAACATGATCGAGTCGGTTACAAAACACATGGAAATAAGAGGGTCTCGATCTCTTTTTATATCTAATCTCACTATTTGTTAAAATCATATTCACCACCTAACCAACCCTATTTATTGTTCTTTGTTCCTTACAACAATATTGAGCAGATGAACTCGGTTCATAAAAAAAAGGGTTAGTTTTGTACATATGTTCTAAGGTGTTGATGAATAATTGATTAAGGTACAAAATTTTTAAATTAAGGGAGTCAATTTTAGTTCTTGTGATTAAAAAAAGTTTAGTCTTTTAAAAAAATTTCCTTTTCTTATCATTTTAGCATTTTAAGATATCTCAAAAGTCGAAGATCCTAGATTGGAGCCCTTCAACTTCTCGAAGGAATCACGGTCCATTTCATTAGGTTTATTTTTCTTTTTCCTTAATTTCACCTACTTTGTTCACATCCTTCTATCTCCTTTTAAATTTCATTTTTCTTTTCTTCAATCACTCTAGGGAATTTTTACAAATATAGCATGCTTAAATTTTTAATGAACTCTGCTAGATATTTTACTAAGCATGTAGCATGTGTATTATTCCTGATCGTATAGCATGCTTATTTCTTACTGCATGGTGAATAAGTTGTTCACGTTGTAGAGTAACCAAAATAAGTGGAGCCGCATAGGAGATCTATAAGGGTGTTTGTCCAAAATATGCTTAAAGCAGTGATTCAGGTTAGCGTGATTATTATTGCCTTTGTTGATATTATTTCTTAAATAACTTTTTTGCCCATGAAAACAAGGCTTAGACAACAATGATATAAATGTCCTGTCTTTTAGGTTCTATAATTTACTACTAATGCAACTATATGTACTAAAAAACATATAACCTTTGATACTGGTAATTGGTGGTACTTTGTAGTATGGAGACTAATATTAATAACTAATTTAATTATCATTCTAAATGGTCACATTCATTATTTTCCAAATATAAATTCGTAAAAATATTTGTACCTAAACTACAATTCGTAGACATAAAACATTTAAATACCAAACTTTATACAGTCTGATCTTATAAAAAAATACTCTAGATATGATAGATCAATTAAACATGAAATTAATACACGTGCAACACACGTGCTCTATACTAGTATATATATATATATAGTTTATATTTACTATGTACATATGTTATGGTGTTTTCAGTCACCAAAGTATTGTTGGCCTTATTGTTTTGATGATGTTTAACAAACAATTTACTTCTAATGTTGTTTGTCTAGTATTTGTGTTTTCGTATTTATTCTAGGCAAACAACGAGTTGGAGGTTGGATGGATTACGCCATAATGATCATATCAAATGGAGGTTGATGGAATAGTGGTTGAAGCCTTGCAATTCAAGTTAAAGATTCAAATTCAAGCTTCATCCGCAAGTGTACCAAGATAGAGCTTCGTTGAAGATCATAAGCTTGGGTATATTTAGTTTAGGTTTATATTATGTGTGTTAGTACCTTAAGCTCAATCATATACACACATACACATTTTGGTTTTGTGTATATATATAGTTATATATATACATATATGTCTTGGTTTGATAGGTTTCAAGTTTTACTATGAAATAATTGAATGCAATTGGAAAACATATTTTTGTTTCATACTTATATGCATTTATATGATTTCATCAATATCAATTTTATTTAGTTCCATAAAATCATGTTTTAGTGTATTATATGTGTATTTTGATAAAATACTATATTCATTATTTATAGACTTCATAACAATAGTTTACATCTTCTATTAAGTCTATAAAATCATTTTGTATTATTTCAAAACATGGTTAAACTAAAATGTCAAAACTCATATGTTCACATTTTTATGTTTTGGACTATTTTACAAAATGATGATATTTTTTATTTGGGAGGTCTTTTTTGAACACCAGTTTTTTTAGCATGTTTATTATCATGTCTACAGTCATTTTCCAAAGTTTTATACTTTTTAGAATTTATTTGATATTTTTAAACATGGTTTTAAAATCATAAAACTGCTTCAAAACCTGTTCTTCTCATATATCAGTTTACGGTCGACCACCACGGTCGACCGAGTCCAGAGACTCAATATGTTTCTTGATGGCTCCCCCCCCCCCGTGGCGGTCGACCGGATGCAGTCCAAAGAGTTTCGCGGTCGACCGTCTGTTGTCCGGAGCCAAACCCTGGTCTTTTTGTTACTCGCGGTCGACCGTGAGTTTTCCACAGTCGACCGCCGATCGCCCAAAGGCTAGTTTTGGTACAGAATCAGATTTCTGATTCTTGGGTTTTTTGGTCTTTTTCTTTGGGGCTTTGGCTGAGATTTTGGGAGGCTATATATACCCCATTGCTTTCATCTTTCATGGAGAACTAAGAGAATGTTTTAAAACAAGTTTAAAGAGTTTTAAGTTTGGTTTAAGTTTGGTTTAAGTTTGTTTAAGAAGCTTTTAAGCATTTGGAAGTTTGAGTTTGTAAAATCAATTTCACAAGATTTTGAGGTTTCTAAACTCTATTTCTAGCTTTACATCTATTTGTTTGATTATCATTTTATTAAAGCTAGTTTTATATTGAGTTTAGTTGATTTGATTTTACTCATTATTTACACACACCCACTTGAGTTTATTGTATTTGCATACATTATATATTTGGGTTGGTGAGAGTTGTAACAATTGAGTGTGAGCAGGGCCGGCCCAAGCTTTTTTGTGGCCTTGTGCGAAATGATAAAATGATGCCCTCTTCTATATAAATGTTGAACTATAAATTTATTGAATTATATTTATTTTACAAAAGAAATAATACATAAAAATACAAAAATTACAAAAAACAATGTTTTCGTGCATTTTTTGATGCAAAATCATCAATAATATAATCTATATCTATCTTTTCCAACATTAGCATTATTGGTGTGTTTCCTAGTTAATAGGGAATAGTTAATTGGGAATTAATGAGTTCAAATTGAATTTCCTAAACTTTAGGAGACAAATGAGCAACTAATCATAATTGTAGTACTAATTGATGTATATTTCCGGTAAAATGTAAATCAGATGGGTCATGGGTGTTAGACAGTTAGGCTTAGCCGCTTAGGCAATGGACATAAATTATTATTTAATTTAGTGGGCTAGTATTAGATTATTAGGCCCTTTTTTAAACAAACAAAAGGCTTATTGGAAAGAATTAAGAAATATACTATGGACATTTTTAAAAATTTGGGGCCCCCTTTGAAATGGGGCCCTGTGCGGTCGCCCCCAGTTGTAACAATTGAGTGTGAGCTTTCATTGTGTTCTCATCCATATTAGAGAACAATCATTTATAGTAATTGTGCTTATTGTGAGGATCACTTTGTAATACACTTGTACACCGAGAGAAGTGTGTGGTGAGAGTCGGGGATCGTCCCAAGAGGAGTGGCGTCGGTTGACGAACCTAGGGAGAGGTTGTATCCGAGCACTTGAGGGAGACACGTCTAGTTCTAATACTTGAGAGAGTGTAGAGTGAGATTGCAAGAGTGTGTGAGGTTGTAAAGTTTTTGGTTAGCTAGAAAACCGAGTATGAAGTGGAGATATCCTCGAGGTGAGGAGCGGAGACGTAGGTCGTGGGGACCGAACTTCGTGAATGAAATTGTGAGGTGTAAAAGTTATTCAGGTGAGCGTAGAAAACCCGGTTGTGATGGTGGATTTCTCCCCGGGAGTGGGGAGCAGAGACGTAGGACGGAATATCCGAACTCCGTGATCATATCGTGTGTTTGAGTTTGCTTTGGCGCACTTCTCTTATGTTTATATTTCTTGTCGCCATTGTCCATTGCTCATTATTTATATCATCCACTATCTTGTTTATTTTGTTTACCCTTGTGTATATCACTTATCCTAGCTCACATATCTTGTTGTATTTTATACTTGCTAGGATAACTTGTTAATTAGTTTTAATTGGCATAAAATCGGATTAGATTAGTATAAGACCCTAATCACCCCCCTCTAGGGTCTAACAAGTATGGCCCTTTACCAGCTACGGATAGGTGTCCCCATGCAAGCATGCACCGCTCAAGTCAGATTAGCGATCAAAGCAACCAAGGATTCTGACATAGCCGACTCGTCGAGTCGACATCTCTTTATATCGACACGAAGGCGATACTTGTCGATTCTCTTGTCGAATACGACTCGCAATAAGCCCACTTGACCAGTTATTCAGTGCCTTGCAAGGTCGACTCGAAAGGCGTTACTTCTCAATGAAGCTATAGGACGACTTTAGCCTCGAGCCTCTCCCACTAATAGCACGTCGGCGTCACATTTAATGTTTAACAGACGCATCATACCTCTAGCCCCGATAGTCTTCATGACTCATCGGACCACATCAGCACCGTCATGCCTCAGATCGCTTCACATTTAATGCTGAGGTGATCTCTCATTCATTCGCCGATCGACACGCGTAAAGTAGGTGTTGGCAGCCACTAGCCCGTACTTCTTCACCGCCATCCTGTGCTCGGCCGAAGTGTCTATTCTACCCATCCATCACCACTATAAATAGAGGTACAATTCTCAACAGAAGAGGATTCGGGATTCTGACTTTTTGACATTCTGAATTCGAACTTTTGGAATATCTGTTAATTATATTGTATTACACACAAGAACTTTCACAATTCTTTATTTCTCCACTCAAGCTTACCAGCTGATTTGATCGTCGGAGGTACAATAGGGGAACCAAGCCCCGTCTTCTCACGAGTTTCTACTTTGTGCAGGCTGAAAGCTACTTTACTCAAAACCAGATATCCGGAGAAGTGAATATCCCTCGTCAATCTCACTCCAAAATATTTGACTGTTTGGTTAATCATCATCAACAACATATTTATGAGAATGAAAAAATAATAAAATTTCCATTTAAAAGATAAATCTGAATCAAATAATTAAGTAAAATAATATATATAATCTCAAAATATATTATTCTAAAATTAGAGGACTAATCATTTGACACCATGCCGTGCTTTGCTTGGGTAGAAAAACTAGTTTTCATCCAAAGCAAATCAACCCAACTTGCTCAGGTAGCGTGGGAGGTTTTCTTTGAGAACTTCCCCTTAATTTAATATATATATTTTTAAAAATTCCCTAATTATTGTTAGTGAGAGGGGTATATGAGTGATTTTGAAAACGAGGGGGAGAGAAAACAAAAGATAGATATTCAGAGTGTAAATAAGCAAATAAGTAGATTGGGAGTAAACCGAATATGAATAATGTGGGGGTTTATGTGCAAAATAACTCTTAAAGAAACATCTACACTTCAGATATGATTTCATGGCTCCAAGTTCCCTAAAGACCCCCCAAAGGGCAAAACCCTAACAAAACCCTCCAACGTGACTTCATACGCTGTTTCCTTTTTCTTCTTCTGGCGACCGTACCTCAGCCAAACGCAGCAAAGATCCAAAATACCCAATTTTTTATTTTGTTTATTCCGAGAATACCCCCAGAGAATTTTATACCAGCCAAGCCAAATAATTTTTTTTCTCTCGAAACTATTATTAAACCCTTAAATCCCCTTTTCCCATTTTCAGCCCTCCAAAGCAGCGAGCGAGGGCTCTCTTCAACCTCTCTCTCGCTCTCTCTCTCTGTCGTCTTTATCGCTCTTCAATCGCCTCCGTTAGTATTCCTGTCAAATATTACTTTTTTGTTTTTTGAGTTTTCAAAGCTTAATCCAGTCTCGTCTTGATATTTTCTTCTGCTTTGTGATCGATTTTTTCTCTTTGGCTTCTCACTTAGTATATAAATGGAGAGTATTAGAAATTTGTTGTATGAACGTTCAGTTTATGTAGCGTGAAGCTTTATTCGGTTATTTTTCATTTGGTTTTTTGTTTTTAAAGTGTTTCTTTAATGGGTTTGGACGATGTAGCGCGTTTGCGCTAGAGAACTAATCAAGGATTTATCTTTTATGAGCATTGGTTAAAAAAACGATTTTTTGTGGATTTATCGTGTTTTTCTTCTTCTGACAATTGAAATTCGTTTGAGATCATTGGAAGAGATGTTGTTGAAGTGTAGGAATTCAATAAGGCTTTTATATGCAGAAAAAGAAGAATACTTTTTGAGAAGACACCTGCATGAAAAAAATAACTTGCATTATGCATATTTAGTTTCCTCAGTGCTCGATTGTTTCTTTCCTGCACTTCATAAATGATGAATTTAATTGGATTTTTGTCACTTTTAGCTTTTATCAGTCAGTCTGGTTTATAATTATTTTTCAAGCAGGTTTCATGTTGTAGGTGAATCAGAAATAAATTCCTAGAGCAGTCAATGTAGTTACAACTTACAAGTAGTTAACTATGAGGGAGGAAATGTAAAATTTTAAAGTTGACTGTATCAATTGACTCGATATATCCTAGAGTTTTGCACATAGGCATTTAATTAATCACTTTTTAAAATAAAGTCCTTTCATTGATATAATTCTTACTGGTACATCTTATTGTCTTTTTTGAGCATTCTTATTTCCGGCAAATTTTAGTTAAAAGTGAAATTTTTTGTTACTGTTAGATCTCAAGAGATACGGATGGCTGGGAAGTCTAACAAGGCAAAGAATAGGGGAAAACCATCAAATTTAAATCCTAGTTCTTTGGAGTCGGACCCAAAGCCTTATGACTCTACATTATCTTCGAATAATGGTGGCGTTGTCTCGGAAACCGCTAATAGTATTGGTAATGAAGTCATGGAATCAAGCAATCATGTAGCTAATGGGACAGTGGAGAACAAGGTAAAGGATGGAAATGAAGATGCTGGAGATACCTCGGCAGCAACAGCCAAGAAGGCTGAAGGTTAACATTTTCCCCATCCAATACATTGTGAAAATGAAAATACTTCACGTTAACTTATTTCTATCGACTTCATAATTGATGCATACTAAGACCAAGATCGAGTCATGGGCAAGCATACCTAAGATGCGTTGGCTAGTTTAAAATTAACCAATCCATATACATATAAAGTGCATACTAATATTCATATGCAAAGTATGGATATGGAGCTGAATTCAAATGAAGTACTTGTCTACTTGCACACAGTGAAGATATTCACTAATATATTCACTTTGATGACACAGGTGAGCTTCGGCTTTATCCCATATCCGTCAAGACTCAGTCTGGAGAAAGGCTAGAATTACAGGTAGTCTGATTAGATATATGAATGATACTGCTGAATTGTCTTTTCCTAGTAATACTCAGTATATATAAATTAAATCTACATTTTGCAGAGGGTTAGCTTCTTCATTTAACCACGAATCTGATAAATGAGTATTTAAATTGGTATAGATTACTGGGATTTGCACATTGTCAATTTTTTTTGATCTGTTCTGTGTCATTTGCTTTCTGTATCATTTGCTTTGTTTTGCACACAATTGCATTTCAATGGTCCTTACTTCCATCTGAACAAGCACATGCACATTTAATTCATTGTTTGTATTTCCTTACTTATTGTGGAATCTCTTCTTCCCTTTAACTGTTTGGTTAATTCTTAGGATATATAAGCTTTGTTAGTTTGATACTTGATATGCCATAAAAAAAATAAACAAAAGAACTGAAAGAATTGAAAGTTTCATAAGTCCCCTGCACTGCAAGATTGTATTAGGAGATAGAACTGATGGACACAGCAGGAAATCTATTGAGTTGTTTTGGAGAAGAAACAAAATGTTATAAGAATTAACAGAAGTGAGGATATATGGAGCTTGTTTATGACATGAGAAGCTACAACTTCTCCATGGTCATTGACACATTTTTTTTTCCTTTTGAGTGAAACAAGTTGGCACAGATGCTTATTGGCTTCAGCTGTTGTGACTTATGATTGATTGCTTTAGTCTGGCTACTTCACCGTGGAAAATATGATTATTCATTGATCAATGATAAAATGCTGACAGCCTCTTGGACATTGGTGAAACTTAAATTCAACATACTGATGACAAGGAAAATAATAGTGGAATATGAGAAGAACTCATTTCTGTTCTTTTAGAAACCT